TTTTCTCTATACTTAACATATAATTTTTTACATAATACAAAATAACACAAACAAAAGTTTGTACAATGGTGGACAGTGGTGCCATTTCTCTCCGCTTCTTGACTTCCATTTGATCGCTTCTCACCTATTTCCTGCAAAACATGGAAAAACAACAGGGTGAGCACAAAATGTTCAGTAAGTAAATCCTCTACTCTTCTATCCCTGCAACTTATACTTTGGTTATTTCCCTACTCTATACTTCTCTTCTTCATTCTTTCTCTTTTCGTTCACTGTTTCCAGTTCTCACTGTTCTTTTCTTTCTTTCTTATTCTCTCTGTTCTTTCTTACTCTTTGCTGTTTCTTACTCTCTATTCTTTCTTTCTTCTTCTCACTAACCATGATGGAAATCATGGTAACATGCATGCATTTGTTCCCATTTTGCCTTTACACTTTCGTAGAAATTCCACCTTTACCCTTTAATTCTTTACACATACAACCCCATCTCTAATGCATTCTCCATGAAGTTTTCTTACATTTCACTTCCCACTTTTCCTGCTAATTAGGGGTAGAATGGTCACTTTACCCCTATGGAAAATTCCTCTAGAAACTTCTCAAGAAATTCAGCCAGCTCGTCGCCCCAACGAAGATTTTTCTTCGCCGCGGCAATGCTTATTCTTCGCCCCGGCGAAGTCTGTAGTTCCCAACTTCGCCAAGTCTTCACTAAATTCAGGGCAACCACACTACAATACCACCCTGCCAACTTAACTAAGGACTAACCAACAACATTTAAAGGCTATTAAACACATATAAGGGACGTACCTCAAATTGGGCGTTACACACACCACACACACTCTTTGGGACAACAACAACATTTTGCAGAGTCAAATTTTTATTTTTCTAGTATTCACATAGACTAGAGTACCCACTATCCAAAAACCTCAAACGCACATCGGTTCTCTAACATCTCTCCTTCATTCTCCAACCTTAATTTCTTGCTGTCCATCTTCTTCTTCTTCTCCTTCCACCAAATGTATTATGCCAAAATCATGTTCTTCTTCTCCTTCCTTCACCAAATGTATTACGCCCACATCATCTTCTTCTTATATTTCCTCCACCAAACCCATTAAAATTTCCAATCTCTAATGATATTATTCAATTGAAATTCATATACAGATTTTTTTCAGGAACCCAAACAATACAACATAACATCCAGCAAAACCGTTGAAGTTTTTTTTATCTCTGCTGAAATTTAACAATTAAAATTCATATACAAACTCTTTTCACAATACCCACACAACACAAAATTCAACATCCAACAAATGCAAAACACCCGTTTCAAGAAAAGAATCTTCAAATCCTCCAACCACTGAAAATCCACAAAAAAACCCCCAAAATCACAAACCCATAGACCATAAGATCCAAAAGAAAAATTGTGTGCAGGAAATGAAAAGGGGGTTGCAATGTCGATGTCGGTGTCAGTGTCGGTGTCGGTGTCAATGTCACAGTCGAGCTGGGTGTTTGTGACACTGCCTTCGGCTGCGATTTGGTTGGCTACGAGCTGAGTTGGTAGTGTCACAGCTAGCCTAGCTTGTGGCTGAAGGTTGCGACGCCACCACCCAGCTAGCAGTTGCAGGTTATTTCGGCGTCGCAACCTCTAGCGGAGAAGGAAGAGATGATGGCGAAGAAAATATAAAGAAAAAAAAAAAAGAGAAGGAAAGGAAATAACATATTTCAATTTTTAAATTTTGATTTATGAGGCTTCATGTAAATTGACCATCTTGCCTTTCTTCATAATGGATTTTCTTAACAGAACATAATGGAGGGTGGGAAAGTGTCGATTTGAAACTTAACGGGTGGGCAAGTGTCGTTTTGCCAAATCTTGGAGGGAAAATGACGTTCTCCCTATTAATTTAGTTTTAATTTAATTGTCATTATCATAACAATATTAGAATCATTATCATGGCAAAGGAACCATCTAACCTACAGCCAAAGCTAGGACAACCGAAAATGATTGTCAACTGCCCAAAGCTTTCTTCTCTGTGACCTACATGCCTACCTTCTCTCTTCTTTTCCTTTTTGTTTCCCAATTATTATACTACTTTATTTTTTTTAATTAAAATTTAATATTTAATACAATCTAAAGTAAAAGGTTTTCCGAATATATAATAAAAATTTGTGGAATTGCAAATTGAACAACCTTTAACGTTAATTTCACTAAATTTTTCTTAAATTGAGTCCATGATTTAATTAAGAAACAGTATTCCAGTCAATAGTCAATAGATGATTTACTTATTTAATCATCATTATTGGCTTGGGTTGCCTATCTATCAAACTCGCCCACTAATTGACAGTTATTGGTAGGCTGTGTAGGTCCGCCAACCACTGCTTATAGTGGGAGTGGAGTGGTTAACATCAAAACTTTCTGACGCTCGTTTACTAATAATTAACTGGCTATAAAGTCTAATTATCTAAATTCAATGCCTCTTTCTCTGCTCTCAAAACATTTTAAATAATTAAATTTAACTTGATAAATCCATAAAAGGAACTCAGTTCTTATATTTGTGGTAAAACTAAACAATTATCCAAAGTCCAAACATGCACTAATAATTGCATGCAACATGTCCTATCAAGTAACGTCAAAATATAAATCACTCAAAAATAATAAAGCTTAATTAATAAATGTCGGCAAAACTCATCGATAAATGAGGAGGGCCCGCGAAGGACAAGGGGTATTGAGGGGATGCCATGTGGCAAGCGAGGAAGAATAGCGAACCCACCTGCTTTTTGTCACAAATTATTTGAATTTGAAAGCAAATGCAAATCCCTGTGGTCTGAATATCTTTAAAATTAAATTAATGCTTTCTCTCTGGTCTACATGTCCCGCGCTAGCCGGCCTTCCTCATGGAATTAAGGGTCTTGTTTAGAGGAAAGCCAACCATAATACTCCGGGATTGATGATAAAATAATATATTTTTTTCTTTCTGAAATCATAGTCTAATCATCAATTATCACACTAAAGATTCGACATTAAAGTAACTATATTAATTGGGTTTTTTCTATGACATTATTAAAAGCAAACTGCTGCATTAATTTTGGGCTACTTTTTCTTCTTCTTTTAGTGGTTGTCTAAACTTTGGTGACCAACGGCAATTTGATTAAGTGGACAGGTTATTTATTGAACTGTGGGATTGAATGCTTTGGATTGAGATCCTTAATTATGAATCCTGGACCAAATGTATTGATTTTTGATTTCCGTGCGCAGGATATTTAATACTAGTACAGAGTCATGACCTAAATGTTGCACCTGAGAAACGGTGCTTAAATTTAAGTTAAAAAAAAAAAAAACAGAGGAGGAGTTTCTGTGGTGTTGATTTTCTCATCTAGCTCTGGCCACTAGAAGGTCCAAAATCATCTACTATGGTATCATATCATTTGATGACCTTTATGGATCAGAAAACTGTATGATGGATGGCCCTTCATGATTCGTCATTTATTAATTCTTTGATTTAATATATGAAAAGAAAACATGAATGGTATTGATTTTGCAACATTTAGAATATGACCTCGGCCCCCCATAACTCCAAAGAGGCATATTTGTGTTGTTTTGATTATCCATGAAATTCTCAGCTATGAATAGTTGGTTATACAGTAGCTCACCTACACTAATGTTTCTTCAGTGAGGGATCAATATTCAAGAATACGTTTATATACATATATGAAACAAGAAATTTCTTGAATATGTTTTTGAAGTTCTTTTGGAATAGTTTAGAGGAATCAAGTTACTTAAATTCTAAATATATATTAATGTTTTCCCAACAACTAATGAACAAAACAACTTAATTTAATGAGGGTAACATATTTTTATTGTATTTCAGATTACCAAACAAAGTCATCTGCATGTGGGATCTAATTAATTAATTAGTTCATTGCCTAATTCTGCTCTGCATAACACATGCTCCATTCCTTACATTTCTATCATCAATCTATCCTCAACAGTAGTTGTAACAACAGAAATTTAATTTCCTTTAAATTAAAAAATCAAAAGCAAAAAAAAAAAAAAAAGAATTCTTCCAGAAACAGTAAATGTCATTGCAGACATAGACAATACCCTTTCAAGCATCATGCTGCAATCTATTGTCGGTGTACCTTTTATAGTTTTAATTATTTTCTTCGTTTTAATCTCCATGATTTAGTAGTGATTAATGTTAATTAATTAGGTTGTAAATTTCACTCCATTGCGATAATAATTGGTGAAACAATTAAAAAACATATATAAAAGAATGGTTAGGAAGAGGTTTAAAATATAATTTTTGATATCATTAAAGAAATGATATATAAAGAAAGATAATAGTCATATCAAAATAATGATCGTTATCCAAAATAAACAACGATTATTGTCATTAATTACAAGGTCCATGAGAATTTGAAAGAGTATTGATAAGATTTAAGAGAAAATGGGAGACCGTATGGTCTCTTTCCACTAGAAAAGGTAGAGTTTAGAGGGGACTGCGACGACGGTGAAAACTTAAGAGAGTCAAAGATCGTATATTTCTTAGTCAAAGATGAAAAGGTCAAAATTCAAAAATACGCGTAATATGTAATGAAAACAATACCCAGACGCTTTTCAAAAGCGTAGTAAACAAAAACCAATTAAAGGAGACAAACAGCCGCTACCAGGTTGGCTCTCAACCTCTTTCCCCACCTAATGTAAGCCACTTCTCACCACACGAGCGTGGATTTTTTTTTTTTTTTTTTTTTTTTTTTTTTATGTTTCACTTTGTTCATATAATATAAAAATGTTCACATTTTTTTTAATTTTTTCTTGGACTGTCATAATATACAAAGTCCACGTCTCCTAAATTCACGATATTGATTTTAATTTTATAATCATTAAAACCGCCTACCCTTACCCAGCATAAAAATGATTATAATATTCATTCTCCCACTCTCTTTCTCTTGTGTGTGTGCGTGTGTATATATAGATATATTAAGCACCCCTCCAGCCATGATCACACCAGCTTCTTCAAAGTCTTTGAAAGTTCAAACTCAAATTCTTCTTGTCATCTTCGATCATTTCATTCAACCTTGTCAAAAACAAGAATGGTTGTCCCTTCTCCGTCTCCAATGCGAACCAAGAAAACAAGAGCGGTCGGGATTCCTACCATTGATCTTTCTCTCAGTAAGCCAAAATTATTGGAGCTAATCGTAAAAGCATGTGAAGAGTATGGATTCTTTAAGGTCACTAACCACGGCGTGCCCAAGGAGGTAATATCAAGATTGGAAGAGGAAGGGACTGATTTTTTTGCAAAACCGGCTGTGGAAAAACAACGAGCTGGGCCTGCTAGGCCTTTTGGTTATGGTTCCAAGAACATCGGCTTAAATGGTGATTCGGGTGAGCTTGAGTATTTACTTCTTCATACAAATCCTTTCTCCATAGCTGAAAGATCCAGAGCTATCTCAAATGACCCTTTAAATTTCAGGTACTATTTACTTCTTCTATACTTTAAATTTTATACTTCAATGTGGATCAAATAAGAGATTATATTACATCATGGGTTGATCTAACAATTTAAAGTTCACTTTGATATTTGGAAAGAGTGGTAATAAGAAGAATTAAAGGAGAGCGAAAATGGTTTTGGTTTGTGTTGGTTTAGTGTAATACAGGTTCACGGGGTTTATGCTCAATTTGTGGCGTGTTTGTATAACTAAATTGTTTAATGCTCAGTACGGGCCTAAACACTTGAACTTTGTCATTTGCAAGCAACTTTGAATTGTTAGCAGTTTGGGGCCGGAATATAAGGGAATATAATTTTGCAGATGAAATGGTGGGAGATTGTTTAGTGTTAATGGTTAGCATCCTAGAAAGGGACAACCTTCCTTTATGAAAAAAGAAAGTGTTAAATAAATATAAATTATATATCAGACTGCTAGGTTGAAGGGTTTACTTTATAATTTTAAAATCATTTGGTGTCCTTGATTAGTTTGATTTCACGGACTCTGCTCAATATGGTACAACTAGTTCAGTTTGGATGATAATTTAAGAATTCTAGTTGGAAGTCACTCTTTCATGGGCTCCATTTAGTTCAATTTGAGCATCAACAGGCTACTTCTTGTTTGGTTTAATTAATTAAACAAATGCTTATTTAATGGAGTTATAGTCAAGACCACACGTGCAACTGCAACCCCAAATGGAGATTCGAGAGTGGAGTTAATTAATTAATATCTAGCTAAATTAAGTGGTTTGAACAGGGTAGGATTGTAAAAGGCAACATGGGATGCTTCTTGATTAGGATTTGGGAGTGTCCAAATGAGTTGGAGAAAGAGGCATGACTTAAAATTAATTTGTAACACTTTGTTGTCATGCATTATTTTTTCAAAACCAAAAATGATTTTGTTATCATGTTATTTATGACCATGTTAGAAACTTAGAATTAAAGTCATCTAATGATCAGTTTTGAGAAAATCTGAGCTGTATTTTGGTGAATTGGATGGCCATGTAATTGTTAGATCTTCTCTTTTCCCGGCAGCTGGCACTGGCAGGCAGAAATGTATTATAATTAGGATGTTAGTCAGAAAGAACTCAATAACTACACTATCAAATCAAAGAAAAGTTGGAACTTTCTTATCCTAAGTTTACTATAATAACATGTGGCGATGCAGTAAATGTTTTTTTCTAAATAAAGGAATGAGTCTTAAAATAGCATATTCTTTGTCTTTTATATTATGTTATGTGTTTGCTTTTTGCAGTTGTGCGGTGAATGATTATGTAGGAGCGATTAGAGAATTAACATGCCAAATTCTTGATCTACTGGCTGAGGGATTGGGGGTCCCAGATAAGTTCGTCTTCAGTAGACTCATCAGAGATGTTCACAGTGACTCACTTCTTAGGCTAAATCATTATCCTCCTCTCAACCATTGGGAATGGGACCCATCAACTAAACGTCATCACCAGCATCACTCTTTAAACAATAGAGTTGGATTTGGGGAGCACTCTGACCCTCAGATCTTGACCCTTTTGAGATCTAACGATGTGGGAGGCTTTCAAATCTCTTTACATGATGGGTTGTGGGTTCCAGTCCCACCTGACCCCACCCAATTCTACGTGCTTGTTGGTGATGCATTACAGGTTAGCAATTGCTATTATTTATTCATAATAATAATAATAATAATAATAATAATAATAATAATAAAATGAAATGATTCTCAGGTTCTGACAAATGGGAGATTTACAAGTGTAAGACATAGGGCAATGGCAAACTCAATGAAGCCAAGAATGTCAATGGTGTACTTTGGGGCACCACCACTAGATGCGTGGATTAATTCTCTCCCAGAGATGATATCTTCTGACAGACCAAATCTATATAAGCCCTTCACTTGGAATCAATATAAACAAGCTGTCTACTCTTTAAAGCTGGGGGATACACGTCTTGACCAATTCAAGATTAATGCCGACGATTAAATCGCATCATATCATAACTGGTATAACATATATATATATTATGATTTATGTCATTAGCTACCTGTATATACCCCACAAAATTCGACTCCATTAATTAATTCAGCATTTAGATGGTAAATCTTATATTGTATTTGTACTTAATGGAAATGTTTACGCGTGTTATCATAGAGTCAATAAATAAAACATGTAAACTTATTTACAAATTCCCAAATCTTGGTCTACATCTGAATAAAACTTGAGCTTTTGAACATGTGAACTTATACAATAATATGTTAATTGAATTGACGGTCGTATATATAGTATACAGAATTTGATTGTTTATGCTGAGACGTGATATTGGTAGTTATGTTCATTAATTGATTTAATTATGTATACCTAAGAAAATTACATGATACCAAGTTACCAACTGTCACAGCTCTTACGTTTATCTAAAAATTGATTTTTTGTCATATTCATTTGATCCAATTATGTTCACAAATTCAGGTCTGCATCATGCATTTACATACTGTAGCTAGCTGTATATAAACCAAATAACAATTAAGATGTTTATCATTGTTAAAAAAGGTTATCTTGGTATGCCTTTATCCATCCATCCCACCAACAATGACGACCAAGCTGGTTAGTTCCATCTACCATAAACTGTGCCTTGTGAAATAGCCATTTCTAGGTAAGAAAAGAAACGAGATATTGACTCAAAACTAGCTTTTATGCTAATTAAAGATACTAACCTAATTGTCCCTTTGACTAATTAATATGATTTTGATGACCTTGTAAAGATAATTACTTGGATTTATTAAATTAAGAATATTTCCGTCCTTCTCATGAAAACCACCCACATGCCCCACCAATTTCTTTTCTTGTTTGACGACCTTATTATAAAATTTATTACCCATTAAGACGAGCAATGGATAAAATAATAACCATTCAAAGGGATGATTATAATTTGGTCCCAGTGAAGCCATGCACTTGATTGATCTAACCCTCGATATTTTGATTGGCCAACCAATTAATTCAGAGGATGGGTGAGATTAGATTTCAATACTCCATCATTGTTTATACAGTTCTTTAATTCTCTTACATAAGGTAGCTCAACGCTCATTGACTCCTGTAAAAGACTCAAATGAAACTTAAATGGCACGAATGAATTTCTTTTTGTAATTTATTTCTTAATTATGAGAAAGTACTTGCTGCATGAAGAAGCTACTTCAAAATCAGAGTCTTCATCTAATAATATTCCAATAATGCCCATCAAAAAACTCAGCAAACAACAATTATGTCTCTAAATTTCATCCAACAAAATACAGACTATTGGCTGTCATTTCATGTTAAAGATTTCTTTTTCTTGTTTCATGAATTCAAAAGGGTAGTTAAAATCAAGGAAGTTAGGTTAAATAGAGAAACGTGGGGAGCTTCCAGATGTGCCTATTAATCTCCCTTGCCAAGCCTTCATTTCAAATGCCTTAATGGCTTCTTTGTTGTTGTTCTTTGAAGCACTAATTAGAAGCCGCTGCTGTGACAATGATTTTCCGGGTCATATAGCAAAGGACACAAATATCGCCACCAGTCATAACATGGGAAAAACCAAGGCATTTTCTAGTGGTGAGCTACATATACATGGTTCTGTTTGTAGTTTTTGCAGTAAGGATGAAGATGTCCAGGCCTGGAAACTTCCTGAGTTTTGCTCTTGGCCTTAAAACCCATAGCTGCTCTGTTGTTGCTCATTTCAATCTTATATATGTATCATGTATGTATCCTTTTACCTTGTAACTCAAACTATATCTTATTTAATTTGATGTAAACTTTTCATTTTTTATTTTTTAAAGCAAATATGTTAATTGGGAACAAAGTGTAATAATTTTGATGGTGATCACTGATCAAGCTATTCCATCCTTCACAAAAGGCAGGCGTCGTCCAAATTTGGATTACTAAAAATCTATTTGGGCAGTCAAGTTTAAGTTTCTGATCCATCAATTATTATTTTTTCTTCATTTTCTTTCCTATAGTTGAATTAGCTGAGAATTTTATAATTTTCAAAACTCGAGCTTAATTATCAGTGATGATGATATTAGTATGCATATAATTATTTTAGCTTTAAAAGATTTTAGGCGGTAGTTAATAAAAAGTGATGCATTAGTATTACATTAAGGGTGCGTTTGGTTCAGGAAATATTATATTACTGGAAAGATAGATTACCAGAGAATCTTTAGAGAAATGTGTTTGGTAGGTTGGAATAAATTAGTGGGTATGTTATAATAATATATTTGGTTGGAAGGATAAAAAAGTGAGTATATTATATAGATTACTAAATTGCCCTCCTTTTTAAATAATAATAATATTATTATTATTATTTTATTCTTTTTTTTTAACCCCCTATATTTGAATTTTTGCTAAAACACTCAAGCCATTTAAAACTTTAATTTGTAGCAAAATCACCCCCCACCCACCCCAAGCCACTACCGGCAACCAGCCACCACTGTCGATAGTCGCTGTAATGGCGCACGATTGGCCAGATCTGGCTGGTCGTGCTCCAGTAAGGCCATAAAAAAACGGCTAGATATGGCCGTGAAACAACGGCCACTTCACGGTCAAATCTATGGTATTTCACAGCCAGATCTAATCGTCTTCGGCCGTGGATCACAAATATTACCAATAACATTATTGTATTTATTTAAGCAAAAAAGGGATCAATTGGGAGAAAATGAATATCCAGGCATTAATGGAGTTATTAAAATATTTCTTAAAGAAATCATCATTGCATTTTATTAGTTAATTAAAACGTGCATTAATAATTATATTCAAGAATTTTAAAGTTAAGGAGTAATGAGCCAAGTATCTCCATCAACATAGTGAGTTCCAGTAAAAGGCTGGGCCTCCTCATCTGTCAAAATTCGAGCCCAAGGAACTCTTCCAGTGAAGTTGGCCCCTGGTCCAGAGCATTTGTATTCCCCGTAGAACACCCTACTGCATTCAAAAAGTTCATCAATCACAGTTACTAAACCCAATTTTAGTTTGATAAAACAAAAACAGTGATGATTTTAACTACTTACGTATCACGGTTTGGTTTACCCCAATCACTCCACCCTTGTGGACGAACAAGTTTGTCCATGAAGGTGTAAGAGAACACAACCCTTGAATAATCCCCCCATGCTCTCCCTAGATAAATCATACCACTACCTGTTACCACACTATCTTTGAACGAAAACCCACTTTCCAGAGATGAACTGGAACGCTTTTGAGCTGTGAGAGATGCCACCTTCTTAGCTACAGAATTTAAATTGCAGTTCTGCACACAATTTACATTGGGTTTCAATACTAATATGGGCCTTGGATATTTTTATCTACTATTGGGCTTTCACTCACCTCATACAGGGACCTCCCATAACCAAAAATGAAGTCAACGGAACCCTGGATAAAACAATTATTGAAGTAGTGGAGGCCTTTGTGATCATAAAGTGTGTCTTGAGCACCATAAAAACTACAATTGTAAAATGCAGCCTTTGTCCCTGAGATACGAAGTGCAACTGCTTGTTCTCCAACGGATCCAATCACATGTGGGGCTGTATTCTGCAACAAACAATATATTCTGATTATATGTATTTGTTATATATTCTTTAGCCAACAAACTAAGATTTATTGATGCTTAGAATTTTAATTTATAAATTGTGCTATAAAATTGATATTGCAACTTTAAATTTTCTGCATTTCTTATAGAAAAGCGTGAGCATCAGAGCATGCATGTGTATTTTGGTTTCTATAACAGATGGTTTTGTCTGGAATTTTGTAATATTCCATGCGGCAATGGAATCTCCATGTTGGCCTCGCCATATATCAGAAAGATTGCAGCGAAGACAGTCGTTTCAAATTTGAATCATGACTTTCACTTCACCCTAACAAGTTTCTAAAACTGTATAAAAAATAACAGAGACCCTTTAAATGAGCAATAAACATTTGTGTAGTTATCAGGGCAATGATAAAAGTACCGGGATTTAAAAAAAAAAAAAATGGTTAACTTACGGTTTTGAATTATGGGTAACTTGGCGAGAGAAAATGTGTTTGCTAACAACTTGTCTTTAGTCTTGATAATATAAATTGTTGAAGGTTTAATTAATTACCTCAAACACCATGTTGATGGCCACAAAATAATTAGCATCTACAGATACGGTTGCGCTTTGAAATGTCTTCAATGGTTTCCCATCAGTTCCAGTAACCGAAGCAGTATCATTTCCAGTAATAGTTGGAGGGTTAGTGGAATCCCCTAATAATGTAACAAAGGGCAAAGTTCTTGGGACGACAATCTTTTCCCTGCAAAATTAACATTGCTGTAAGTATGTATTAGCAAAACAAGCATTAAACTAAATTTACAGCTTGAACGATGACTGCATAAGAATTTAGTTAGCCATTATCATTAAATATGTTATGAGTCTACCTGTAAACACCTGGTTTGATCTCCAATATAACTCTCCGGGTGTTGTTGGGCGGAATGCTATTAATAGCTTCTCTGATGGTTCTGAAATGACCTGTCCCGTTTTGAGAAACACTTATTCTCACTTTGTTCATCTCAGCCTTGCTCAGTTTGTCATCAAGCACCCTGCCAAAGCTCGCTGGAGCTTGACTGATGGACTCTGCTTGCAAGAGAGCCTTTCTACGATGATTTTGGACGTTCCAGAAGAGCCATTTATCATAGTCCAAGGCTCTATCTACATCCTGAGAATAAGATTTCAAACGAAAATTAAACAAAGGAATGAGGAAGAGAATGAGATGGAAATAGTAGGATTTTGAAGCCATAACGAGAATGTCTTAGAGTTGAGAAGGAGTTGATGTGCGTGTATCTATTTAAGATATGCTAGTGGGTGCGTGCGTGGTGTCATGATATTCCGGGCCCAGGATATGAAAATTCACATTAGGGGTGTATTTACTACAATGTCCTTCTCCCTGTGCTACGCTATCCACACATACTGAAAATACACAATTTAACCCCAAGTTTTTGTCTGTTTGTCAATGATGTTTGCTCATTTCATTAAGTTTTTTGATTCAAATCTTATGGTTACTTATCATATTTTTACTTACTTGGTCTTTTTTGTTTGTAAGTTGTTTAATGGATTCCAGATATTAATTGAGGTTTGCATAATTTAGTTCTAACACCTTTTTTAAAAAAAAAAATACACAATTTCCAATTTATAGGATTCTGAAACTACAGGTTCGTTGAACTGTTAATCAATGGTATAAAAGAAAAACTATAGGAGTATTAGATGAAATGACAAACGCACAGAGAAGTGTGTAGTGAAATCATATGGAAGGGCATTTTAAGAAGTAAATTATTGTTGCTTGACGGTTTGTGCCAATGGGGATGGGGACCCCCAAGCCTCAAATCTGAAATTGTGTGTAAGGGTGCAGCATCCAATCCAATCTTCTTCATGGTGGTGGGGAAGATAAAGAGAGTGCGGAAAAAGCTGTATTCCATTTCCAAATTTATTAATTTTGTAGTGAAGAAGTAGATTTGTGGAGTTGGAGTAGCAGATGGGCTAACACAGTATAGTAGCAACCAGAAACTGGCCTCACCCTCGTACAATCTTTTAAGTATCCAACGCGCAATATGAATATGCAGTAGCTCATATAAGTCATATTGGTGGGGGCGCGGCATGATCAAGTCGTGCTTCTCTCCCCACAAACCATTCCTCTGATTCTACTCCAGTTGTTAATCGATAACTTACTTTCTTATTCTCATTCATTTACTTGGGTACAACCCGCTTTGCTGCTTCTATTTTTATTTTTATTTTAGCTGTAATTAATTAGTGATTAGTAAGAAATCTGTATACACATAGATATAAATGTCTTACAGTGTCACCACCACCAACTAGAGCTCAACAAGCACTTAAAGACAACGTAGATATTTTATTTCAATCCTATCCCATTTTAAAATAAGGATTAAGGAGTGGTCTCTACATGTCAAGGCGACTTGTAAAACACTCATCACATTAACCTCAAAGGTATAAATGGACACCTCTCTTCACGAAAGAGGGGGCGGGGCATATGAGAGTTGGGCACAAACGAGAGCTTCAACCACTATTTTTATTTGTAAATAAAGTATTTTTCCATTTTTGTATGCTTTACAGGAAATATCAGAAAAATAGTCAGAGAATAATAAAATAACAATGGACCTAGGATTCGCTTTAAGTATTCGAACCACTATAAAAATCTTTATTGTCAATCTATTATTTATGTTTTTGCAAACATATATAATCTCTGCACCATAATCAACTGTCATAATCATTCACGTGTAATTTCTAAGACTTTCTTAGCACTTTGCACGTGCGAGATTATTGGTGTCAAAATCACGCATCAACAGTTTGACGCTAGAGGAAGGTCATGATTCACATCAGCTCTCCATGTTTTTCCAGCAAGCCTCAAAATCTTCACATTATCAGATGTGAAAATCTGAGCAGGATAAAGTCTAAATCTGGCAAAGCTGTAAGCAAGAGTTGTACCCTTTCGATTTAGCTTTCCGATGATCCAAGAATCATTAAAACCCGAGGTCTACAGCTCAAATTATTGTCAAAATACTGAAGCGTGAGCACTCAGATCGTGTGGCTAGATCGCACACTTAGACCGCTCTGATCTTTAGCTTCAAATCGCACATTTAGATCTCTCAGATCACACGCATCATATTTCCCAAATTGCGTGGCTAGATCGCCTAGATTGCACGCATTAGAGCTCTTAGATCGCGTGCCCAGATTGCCCAAATCGCACGCATCAGAGCTCTCAGATCGCGTGGTCAGATCGCTTAGATCGCATGCATTAGAGCTCTCAGATCGCGTGCCTAGATTGCCCAGATCGCACACATCAGAGTTGTTAGATCGCGTGGCCAGATCGCTTAGATCGTGCGCATCAGAGCTCTTAGATCACATGGCTAGATCGTTTAAATCATGTGCATCAAAGCTCTCAGATCGCGTGGCTAGATCGCTCAGATCGCATGCTTAGATCTCTCATATCAGATCGAGCTCCCAAGCTTTTTAGCTCTTAAGCTATCGAGCTCCCAAACTCTAGCTCCTAAGCCATCGAGCCCCCACACTCTAGCTCCTAAGCCATCGAGCTCCCACACTCTAGCTCCTAAGCTATCGAGCTCCCAAGCTCTTGAGATCACGTGTTCAAGATCGTTGAGATCACGCGTTCATATCACTCAGATGATGCTCCTGAGCAGCCAGATCGTGCTTCCGAGCATCCGAAGTGCACGTTCAAGATCGTAAAGACCACACGTTTAGATCATTTAGATCGTGCTCTCGAGTAGCCAGATCATGCTTTGAGCACTCAGATCGCGTCCCGAGCAGCCAGATCGTGCTTCTGAGCACTCAGATCGCACTCCTGGCTAGATCATGCTTTCAAGCACTCAAGTCGTGCTCTTGAGCGGCCAGATTGTGCTTCCAAGCATCTAGATCGCATGTTCAAGATTTTTGAGATCACCTGTTTAGATCATCCAAATCGCCCGTTCAAGATTGTTGAGATCACACGTTCAGATAATTTAGATTGCACTTTTGAGCGGCCATATCGTGCTTCTGAGCGCCCAGATCGTCGATCTCGAGTTCTAAGATCAAGCTTTGCACTTTCTGAATCAAACTCCTTGTGTTCTTAGATCAAGCTTCACGCTTTTTTATTGCACTCCTTATGTTCTCAGATAATAGCCCCAGATCGTGTTCTCAGCTCTCAGATCGCGATCAGTTGGCAGTTCTTAGATCACAACTAGTTGTCAGCATTAGAAAAAATGCGTAGAAAACTTAAAACAGCCTTGAAACATGCCGAAATGGTGGATTTTGGCCTCGAAAATGGTCCCAACAAGTTATCTAGTTGCCACAACGTAGTGCTTAGAACGAGCTTTCCGTGGATATCTTACGAGCTCTAAAACTCTTTTCGGATCACAAGTTATGACTATTTTAAGTTGGCTTGTCCGTTTAAGACCTCTGAGCTGTGCGTTTGGGCTTCTGATGCTCAGTTCTCTACAAAAATTCATCTACTAGACATTTTATGTCAATTATCAGATCACGCTCAGCTTTAGATCGCTCCAAACGCTTAAATTGCAGTCCTAGCTCTCAGTACCCGATCACGTCAGGCATAGTTTGAGCTCTTCAGTTTGAGACTGCAGCCTATAGTGCGACATCCATTCAAATCTAAGACATGAGTTTTTGAAGTGCAATTATGCACTCCAACAATTGGGAGGGTTCTGTTTTGCCAAAAATGCACACTGATGTCAACATCATCAATCAGAGTTTAACAAACACTCAAAGACAAAGTGGTATTAGCTGTCAAAACCCAAACCGCCTCAAAAAGATATTTTATATCAATTTTATCCCATTTTAAGATAAGGATTAAGGAGTGGTTCCCATGTGTCAAGGCAACTTGCAAAAACACTCATTACATTGACTTCAAAGGTATAAATGAGCACCTTTCTTCATGAAAGAGGGGGTGGGGCATATGAGAGCTGAGCACAAACGAGAGCTTCAACCATTATTTTTTCTCTGTAAATAAAGAATTTCTTAATTTTTGTACGCCTTACAGGCAATATCAGAAAAATAGTTAGAGAATAATAAAATAATAGTGGATGTAAGATTCGCTTTAAGCATCCGAACCACTATAAAAATCTCTCTTGTCAATCTATTATTTATGTTTCTACAAACATATATAATCTCTATACCATAGTCAACTCTCATAATCATTCACGTGTAATTTCTAAGACTTTCTTAGCACTTGCACGTGCGAGATCGTCGGTGTTAAAATCATGCATCAACATATAAAGATCCCAAAGACTTATGGTTTCAGGTATTAGTTTTTCTCTGTATGTAAAAAAAAAAAAAAAAAAAAATGAATTTAAAGTAAATGGTAGAATAATTAGAATCTCAAGATATTCAATACTGAATTTCCATGGCTATTTCACTGTCACAATCATCTTCGTACTAATGATGCTTATAAATTTATAATCAAATCAAAGAGATGATAATAATATGCCCATATTACCTTACCCTTGGTAATTTTATATTAGTCCAGTCATATGATAGGTGGATTCTCAAAGGTATTGTCTATTTTGGACTATAGGTTGGACTACTAGTAGACTCGCACACTTTTACCTTAAAAATGCACCTCTAGGTAATAAGAGTATTTTATGTTATATAAACGATTAAGACCCCCATCTCCTAACCGATATGAGAGTTTGGTATCAACACAACCTCACGTCGGGCTTGGGAGGTTTAACATTATATTAGTAAGAAATAATTACTCTTGGATCATGGGAATTAGCGCTATAACAACAACTGAAACAATTGAGACACATCACATGACTGGTAATAAAGTTGAGGCAAGGCAAGTCCTGTAATAGAAAGACATATATACAAATCTCTGCTGCTAATGAATGGTTCAGTTTATGTCAAACAAGTTATCATATGACTTTGATGAATTGAGTTTTGCAGAAGAACAATCATGCCAACGTAAGCAATGACTACATTTATATTAGTAAAGTCCTCCACCTTCATCCACGCATCCATCCACTAAGTGGGTTTACTGCTGACAAATTATAGCATTTGAATTGACTCTTCTTCTCCAAAGGGGGCTTCTTTTTTTCATATGGGCTATTATATATAATTTTATCAAAAGCCTTCGAATTAAGCTCTGGCTGCTGATATGTTTTTTATTTCTCTAATTCTCTCTTCTTATTCTCTCAGTCTCCCACTAAGTGATGGGTAAACGGAACGAAACTGTTAACAAATACGTTCCATGGAAAAAAAATCCACAAGAAAGAAGTACTGACAACACAATCTTCTTTTGATGACTTTTGACGTAGTCTGAGTCTGTACTGTACTGTACATGTGCTTACTTTGTCTCTACCAACTGAATTTTCTTTCTTCATAAATTCCACTCTTGCTTTGATTTTTATTTTTGAACTACATCTATAATTTACATAATATGGCATGTGTGGTGTATGAGTTGACGACCTAAACTCATCTAAATTCTCATCATCTTCTTATTAACTAGACCTTTTTGAAACAACAGAGTTTTCAAGGGTTGCGGCAGTTAGTGCTTCAGTCGAGGAAACTACACTAAGAAATTATTAAAAAATGTGCTCTTGGAGACCATTTTAATGACAATTGCTCAAAATTGCTTCCATCATGCTTACATTCTCTGGAAATTTTTTAAGGAGACGGAGAGATCATTCAGTTCTAGTGAATATTATATTACACAAAACCCAACTGTAAAATAACAATAATTTTTTATGATACAGGAGATAAACCATGGGCCTTAATCCATCTAGATGACGTGAACGTGAAGTTGGTGATAGAGAGGTCATGTAAGTTTCAAATCCCAGATTAATCAACCAAGTCTAGAATCATTCTTGAGATCTAAATACCTCACAATTCAACTGATATAACACTTCTGTATGGAATAGTAATATAACAAAATCCATGGAACCAATTTAATTAATTTATTGGATGTATAAAGATTGAAGCATCTATGCGAATATTATGTTATCTTCAAAAATCATACCTTACTCACTAAATGAGACATAAATTATTAATTTTTTTCTTGATGAATCTAAATATAAATAAAATTCAATAAGATTCCAACCTTTTTATTATTATAATAAACAAAATTATCTGTACATCAAAGTTGTCAATTATGCTGTGTTAGCCGTAATATCACTAGGAACTAAGTATCTCATTAAATCAGAAATTGTTTCAATAACTTTGATGCGTTACGTAAACAAAATCATCTCTGATCTTAGTCATATAGCTGCTGTCGCTAGAACCAGACATTCTCATCATTCCACAAACTCTCCAATGACTCATCGCCACCTAACCACTCGTTGTTGTTCTGGGTCTCGAAACTGTGAATATCCAAACCCGGTTTAGACCAGTCCCATGACCCAGAGACACAGCCAGACATGTTATCTGGGTAGAACTCCGACCAGTTTTGTGAATTGTCGAGATTAGTATCCGAGGCAGGAGATACGTGGGCATCCACTGAGTCCCAGGAGGCAACAGACAACTCGGGCATGAAACTTGGTTCCGACCCCGATTCAGTCGAATTATAAACTTGACTTGTGTATATGTCTGCATGAGTACTTGTACTTTCCGTCGTGGTGGTGGTTACGTTGGAAGTGGGTTGACCCGTTGATGAATGGGTTGTTGCTTGGATCCGCTCAAGTAAACGAGGCATCCAAACGTAACGCATGGCATCTCTAAATTGCTTACTGTTAACGTCACATTTGAGCTGCTTTGCCTGCTTTTGAACTCTTGTTCTCCAGTAGTTTTTTATCTCATTGTCTGTTCTTCCCGGCAAGTGCTGTGCTATTTTTGACCACCTTCAATTTCAATTTCCAATTATATGAAAGATAGATTAGTTTAACTGCTGCTGAAATAATTAGAACAAAAAGACCAGAGTTATGATTAATATATAATAACCTATTTCCCCAGCGGGAGTGGAGTTCAAGAATCATTAGTTGTTCCTGAAGACTGATGTTTCCTCTTCGAACATCTGGGCGCAAGTAATTTAACCACCTTAGCCTGCAGCTTTTTCCCGTTCGTTTTAGTCCTGTATATATCTCTGTTAGTCTTAAGAAAAAAGATTGTACAAGAGCAAAAGAGAATATCAAACTTAATCTATTAGTGACCTGCACAGCGAGCTACAGAGTTCCAACGACCTTCACCATGAATGGTAACGTAATTCATAAGCAAGGAGTCCTCTTCAACAGTCCATGGCCCTTTTCTCACGTCCATCTCCTCTTCACTTTGTTGATCATAAGTTGAAGAACTAAAAACTCCCATGTGAGCTTCCATTTCTATATAATTCGAATATAATTCAGGGTTTTACAAAGAAGAAGAAGAAGAAGAAGAAGAGTACGGGTATTTTGATTAAGATGGAAGTTAGAAAATATGGCTAAGATTTGATAAGAGAGGAGATTATATAGAGAGTTAAAGAGGAGATTGGAATTCAACTGAGCATAATCTATGAATAAAGAAAAAGTGGGNGGTTGAATTAGCTGAGAATTTTATAATTTTCAAAACTCGAGCTTGATTATCAGTGATGATGATATTAGTATGCATATAATTATTTTAGCTTTAAAAGAAATGATGCATGAGTATCACATTAAGGATGCGTTTGGTTCAGAGAATGTTGTATTACACTATTACGGAGAAATATTGTATTACTGGAAAGATAGAATACCAGAGAATCTTTAGAGAAATGTGTTTGGTTGGTTGGAATGAATTGGTGGGTATATTATAATAATATGTTTGGTTAGAAGGATAAATGAGTGGGTATGTTATGTAGATTACTAAATTGTCCTCCTTTTTAAATATAATATAATATTATTTTTATTATTATGTTATTCTATTATTTTTTAAATTATTTTTTAACCCGCTATATTTGAAATTTTGCTAAAACACCCCAACCATATAAAACTTTAATTTGTAGCAAAATCACTCCCACCCACCCCTAGCCACTGTCGACAGCCAGCCGCCGTAATGGCGCACAACCAACCAGATCTGGAATGGCTAGATCTGGCCCGTGAAATAGTGGCCATTTCACGGTTAGATCTATGACATTTCGCAGCCAGATTTGGTCGTTTTCGGCCATGGATCATAAATCCATGGCCGAAAACGTCTTTACCGGCACACGACATACAAGATTCCACTGATCTTGCCCGGATATGATGACTTTCGCCAGTGGTCAACGGTGGTGGCTAGTGGCTGATGGTGGTCTTGGGTGACTGGGGGTATTTTGTTAACTTTTAAATTTTTTTGTGACTGGGGTGTTTTAGCTATATTTTCAAATGTAGGGGGTCTGGGTAATTGTTATTTGGTAGACATATGAGGGCAAATGTGTCTGAAATGATAAAAGATTAAGGGCAAAATAGGGTCAAAATTAAGATTACCTTGGTAATTTTATATTAACACCCTTTAGGAAGGTAATTTGATTACCCCCAATATTACCAACAGTAAATACTATTTGCAATAAAAGATTACTTAATATTTTATTACTTGACAACCAAACGAGGGAATCTTGAAAATTAAACAAAGATTCCAGGATTAATCTTATATCATCCCGAACCAAACGCAACCTAATTGTAGGTTAAAGTTTTCAAAATTAATGTAATATTGACATATTAGACTTTAATTATGTGTGATGGGTATGGTTTTTTTAGTATATTAACAATAACATTATTGTATTTATTTAAGCAAAAAAGGGATCAATTGGGAGAAAATGAATATCCAGGCATTAATGGAGTTATTAAAATAGAGCAATGCTAGTTTACAAAGACACATACAAAGACAATCCCTATCTTTCTCTCTCTTTTTCCGTTTTTTCTTTATTTTTTTCTTCGGATGATGTTACTTTATAGCCTTTTTTGTATGGATCTTTGTAAGGATAGCATTTTTTATTAAATATTCTTAAAGAAATCATCATTGCATTTTATTAGTTATTAAAACGTGCATAATAATTATATTCAAGAATTTTAAAGTTAAGGAGTAAGAGCCAAGTATCTCATCAACATAGTGAGTTCCAGTAAAAGGCTGGGCCTCTCTCATCTGTCAAAATTCGAGCCCAAGGAACTCTTCCAGTGAAGTTGGCCCCTGGTCCAGAGCATTTGTACTCCCGTAGAACACCCAACTGCATTCATTCATCACAGTTACTAAACCAATTTTAGTTTATAAAACAAAAACAGTGATGATTTAACTACTTACGTATCACGGTTTGGTTTACCCAATCATCCACCCTTGTGACGAACAGTTTGTCCATGAAGGTGTAAGAGAACACAACCCTTGAATAATCCCCCCATGCTCTCCCTAGATAAATCGTACCACTACCTGTTACACCACTATCTTTGAACGAAAACCACTTTCCAGAGATGAACTGGAACGCTTTTGAGCTGTAAGAGATGCCACCTTCTGAGCACAGAATTTAAATTGCAGTTCTGCACACAATTTACATTGGGTTCATAATAATATGGGCCTTGGATATTTTATCTACTATTGGGCTTTCACTCACCTCATACAGGGACCTCCCATAACCAAAAATGAAGTCAACGGAACCGGATAAAGCAATTATTGAAGTAGTGGAGGCCTTTGTGATCATAAAGTGTGTCTTGAGCACCATAAAAACTACAATTGTAAAATGCAGCTTTGTCCCTGGATACGAGTGCAACTGCTTGTTCTCCAACGGATCCAATCACATGTGGGGCTGTATTCTGCAACAAACAATATATTCTGATTATAGTATTTGTTATATATCTTTAGCCAACAAACTAGGTTTATTGATGCTTAGAATTTTAATTTTAAATTGTGCTATAAAAATATTGCAACTTTAAATTTTCTGCATTTCATAGAAAAGCGTGAGCATCAGAGCTGCATGTGTATTTTGGTTTCTATAACAGATGGTTTTGTCTGGAATTTTGAATATTCCATGCGGCAATGGAATCTCCATGTGGCCTCGTCATATATCAGAAAGATTGTAGCGAAGACAGTCGTTTCAAATTTGAATCATGACTTTCACTTCACCCTAACAAGTTTCTAAAACTTATAAAAAATAACAGGACCCTTAAATGAGCAATAAACATTTGGTAGTATCAGGCAATGATAAAATACGGATTTAAAAAAACAAATGGTTAACTTACGGTTTTGAATTATGGGTAACGGCGAGAGAAAATGTGTTTGCAACAACTTGTCTTTAGTCTTGTAATATAAATTGTTGAAGGTTTAATTAATTACCCCAAACCATGTTGATGGCCACAAAAATTAGCATCTACAGATACGGTTGCGCTTTGAATGTCTAATGGTTTCATCAGTTCCAGAACCGAAGCAGTATCATTTCCAGTAATAGTTGGAGGTTAGTGGAATCCCCAATAATGTAACAAAGGGCAAAGTTTTGGGACGCAATCTTTTCCCTGCAAAATTAACATTGCTGTAAGTATGTATTAGCAAAACAAGCATTAAACTAAATTTACAGCTTGAACGATGACTGCATAAGAATTTAGTTAGCCATTATCATTAAAATGTTATGAGTCTACCTGTAACACCTGGTTTGATCTCCATATAACTCTCCGGGTGTTGTGGGGGGAATGCTATTAATAGCTTCTCTGATGGTTCTGAAATGACCTGTCCCGTTTTGAGAAACACTTATTCTCATTTGTTCATCTCAGCCTTGCTCAGTTTGTCATCAAGCACCCTGCAAAGCTCCTGGAGCTTGAGTAATGGACTCTGCTTGCAAGAGAGCTTTCTCAGATGATTTTGGACGTTCCAGGAGAGCCATTTATCATAGTCCGAGGCTCTATCTAATCCTGAGAATAAGATTTCAAACAAAATTAAACAAAGGAATGAGGAAGAGAATGAGATGGAAATAGTAGGATTTTGAAGCCATAACGAGAATGTCTTGAGTTGAGAAGGAGTTGAGGCGTCTATTTAAGATATGCTAGTGGGTGCGCGGTGGTGTCATGATATGCGGGCCCAGGATATGAAAATTACATTAGGGGTGTACTACAATGTCCTTCTCCCTGTGCTACGCTATCCACACATACTGAAAATACACATTTAACCCCAAGATTGGTGGTGAAAGATGTTGCCATTTCATTAAGTTTTGATTCAACAATGGTCACTAAACTTTGACTTACTTGGTCTTTGAGTTTGTAAGGTGTTAATGGATTCCAGAGATTAATTGAGGTACGCATAAATTAGTTCGAACACCTATTAAAAAAAAAAATACCAATTTCCAATTTATAGGATTTGAAACTACAGGTTCGTTGAACTGTTAATCAATGATATAAAAGCAAAACTATAGGAGTATTAGATGAAATGGAAAACGCACAGAGAAGTGTGAGTGAAATCAAGGAAGGGCATTTTAAGAGTAAATTATTTTGCTTGACGGTTTGTGCAATGGGGATGGGGACCCCCAAGCCTCAAATCTGAAATTGTGTGTAAGGGTGCAGCATCCAATCCAATCTTCTCTGGTGGTGGGGAAGATAAAGAGAGTGCGGAAAAAGCTGTATTCCATTTTCAAATTTATTAATTTTGTAGTGAAGAAGTAGATTTGTGGGCTAACACAGTATAGTAGCAACAGAAACTGGCCTCACCCTCTACAATCTTTAAGTATCCAACGCGCAATATGAATATGCAGTAGATCATTAATTCATGGTGGGGGCGCGGCATGATCAACTCGTGCTTCTCTCCCACAAACCATTCTCTGATTCTACTCCAGTTTGTAATCGAAACTTACTTTCTTATTCTCATTCATTTACTTGGGTACAACCCGCTTTGCTGCTTCTATTTTATTTATTTTAGTAATTAATTAGTGATAGTAAGAATCTGTATACACATAGATATAATGTCTTACAGTGTCCCACCACAATAGAGCTTAACAATACTCAAGAGAAAGTAGATTTTATTCATCCTATCCATTTTAAATAAGGATTAAGGAGTGGTCCACATGTCAAGACGACTTGTAAAACAACTCATTCACATTAACCTCAAAGGTATAAAGGACAACTCTCTTCACGAAAGAGGGGGCGGGCATATGAGAGTTGGGCACAACGAGAGCTTCAACCACTATTTTTATTGTAAATAAAATATTCCATTTTTGTATGTCTTACAGGAAAATCAGAAAAATAGTCAGAGAAATAAATAACATGGACAGTAGATTCGCTTTAAGATTGAACAATTATAAAATCTTATTGTCAATCTATTATTTATGTTTTTGCAAACATATATAATCTCTGCACCATAATCAACTGTCAATCATTCACGTGTATTTTTAAGACTTTCTTAGCACTTTGCACTGTGAGAGTTGATGTCAAAATCACGCATCGATAGTTTAACGCTACAGGAAGGGCATGATTCACATCACTCTCCATGTTTTTCCAGCAAGCCTCAAAATCTTCACATTATCAGATGTGAAAATCTGAGCAGGATAAAGTCAAATCTGGCAAAGCGATGAGCAAGAGTTGCAGCCTTTCGATTTAGCTTTCCGATG